TTTTTTTTTCAGTTTAAGTTCTGTAGCCTTCTTTATATTTTGCTGCAATGCGCAAGTATTTTAAGCAGTATTAGAGTTACTCTATGGTTAACAAAGGAAAAATCACATGTGTTCTAATTGTTGGGACTTGATTGTTTATTTACTGTTCGTAAGCCTAATGAAATTATGGTTTCCAGATTTTGGAAAGAGGTGTTGTCGGACACCAGCTCTGCATCCTCCATTGCATTTATTTATTGATCTGTCATGGCAACCTTTCCAAATGTTCTCCAGTTCCCTTCAATGCACAGGTTATTATTCTTTTGATTCATAGTTTGAAAAATAATTTACTGTTTTAAATTACAGAAGGCAAAAACTATACCCTAGTTAGAAATATAATTTTTGATTCTTTAATGAAATGAATTTTTACTAAATGCGATCTAAAACTTTTTGCCCTTTTATTCAAATACTCAAAATTGTTGCTGTAATGAGTTTCTTGTCAGTAGCATCTATCAGTGTTTAAAAGCGATTTATTTGATGGGTTTTGAAATATATTATTGTCTAGATCTAGACTGACATTTTTAACTGTTGAGTACACCTGTTGTTATACATGTTGATCACTTCGACTGATTTTTTACACAAACATATGCTCAATTTGGGTTTCTAAGGGATTTATTGGCGGTGCGGTGTGACTTTTCGTGCAATTATTGACTTAACACTTTGTAACCGTGAATTTTAGATTTGAAGAATTAGCCTAATTCTGAAGATGAATGATCTGTTTTTGGTAAATTTTGAAATCGGCATTAACAGTATTGAAAAAGTCACTTGTAGGAACTTTTGACAAAGTTTTGAAAACAGTAGATTTGAAACAAGTGTTTATGGTTACTTAACTGCGCAAAAAAATAAATAATATAAGTTGTTAAATTGTTCTTCTTTATAACTTTTTATTTGAGACTCAGTTCATTCAGCTTTAAAAGTAGCAACAGTTAAAATTAGTTGATATTGGAGTTTGTTTATTGGGGACAAACAAGGTGTAAGCGTGAAATTCCCTGACCTTCTGTTGGTAGGAGAAGTAATTTATTCTATTTTATGATAGATTTATAGATAACAAGTGAAAGTAATTGGTTTATTTTGAGACAGAAGAACGTTCTATGTTTTAGACATGTTTTTACAAATTGAGCGGGGTTGTTAACTCTTGCTTCAGTTTCCTACGTTCTGAAGAGATATCTTTTATAGTTCCTTTTCGGTTTTTTGCCATCTGTCTTTCTAATGTTTAATTTATATTTTATGTTCTTTCTATTAATTTGTTTTTCGCAGTTTTTTCACAGCCGACCACCATATTGCATTTGTCATTTTTTGAACTGCTTTTTAGTATTTGCCGCTCCAAGGTTTTATGTTTCTTTCAAATCTCTTTGTGCACAACACTGATGATCTATTTTACTCTTGTAATTTTTTTCGAATTCCTTGTGTTTCAGGTTATTCGGACCGTATCCAAGCATCTACAGGTGACTACGCTAATCCACTAGTTTAATTATGTTTCTGTGTGATTATTGCTCATTTTTATGCTATTACCTCAATTTTTTTAAAGTGAATTTGATTAAAGGCAGCCAGTATGCCTTGAAATTTTTCATATAAAGTGCCATGAGCTGTACAAGAAAAAAATTAAGGGACCAAATTGGAAGGAAGCGGCCCGAATATTAAAATACATTGTGCAAGGGACTGATTCGCTCTTCAGTCTCAACGCTAAGGTGACGTTTACTTGTCTTGCTAGATGGCTGGACAAAGTTAAAGTACTAAGCGATGAACAATTTTTATATTTATTTTATTTAATAGTCGAAAAAAGAAATTTTGTTGCAGTATTTTTGTTTGGGGCGGGGCTGAAAGGTCACAAGTGGTACTGTAGAATAGCATTTGCTGATTATGCGACAAACTGAGTATTTAACGGATTATTATTGGAAAATGATCTGTAAACGTACAGTCACTCAATTTTCTACAGTTCGTTTAATTTTTCAAAAAGAGAACTTCCAGTTTTAAATTGTCCTAGATATGATTTATTTCACTAAGAGTATGTCACATTATAAAACTGCAGTAATTGCCAGGTGGCAAAATCTAATTCCTTTTTATAAATTGTAAGGTGTGAAGTGCAAAAGGTAAATAAAAAGCAAGTATTATTGACACTGAAAGGGCATTGAATACTTGTTATCTTTAAAGCAACTTTTAGGCAGTAATTTTTCTTCTGGAAATAGTGAAACAATGACATGAATAATGGCGTTAATGCCACTGTTTGAAAATAGACTCAAATTTAAAAAATGCAGTGGTTAAAGTGTTAAGTAAAGTAGTTATTATGGTGTTCAAAACTTTTAGGAGGAAGATGAATTAAAAAGTGACAGTGATTTTCAAAATGAATTAGAGGCTGTTATTAACAGTTTTAGTGCTTCGGGCTCACCAAGGAAATCTGCATTAGAAACGTTGTCACTGCGAAGGCACACAAATATGAATCAGGTTGGATTTCTTAAATTAGTCGCTTCTGTTTGCCACATTAACTGACAAGTGTTATAGGCCAAAGTGCGTGAACGTTTAGTCAGTTTGATGAATGCTTCTGGTTTACGCGTTGGATTACCAAAAAGTGCATCTGTATGTCGAAATTATGTTATTCTTAATTGTTGAAGTTCTTGCAAACTTTGTTATGCATAAGTACCTTTAGTCTGCTAAGGCATTTTTTATTTTTCGTTTCAGGTGCTTTTTTCTCAGTCATCTCACGACCTTGCTCACGAGCCGTTAGTTCCTTCTTCTTCATCCTCTTTAGAAAGAATTCCAGCAAATCATGGAAATGAACTTGGTTCGTCATCATCACTGGTCGCAGATCCGTCGGTTACAGATTCTTTTCCTCGGGTATTTAGGTAAATTGAAATAAACAGTTTTTCAGTGAATTCAACTTTTTTAATTCTTTTTTAAATTTGCCGTTTGTCATTTTAGGGAGTTTGATTTCTTGGAAGCTGAACACGATAGCGTCTCTGAATCGACTGAATCTGCTTTCAACTGGCTGTCGTCAATGAGAAGACGCTCTATAAGCAATGTTGATTTGGAGAATGAAGAACAGTATAATGATGACGGTAGTGCGGAAGCCCCTAATCATCATCGGCCGTCGTCCACTGGTAGGTCTTTTCTGTGTCTCATTGGTCTTCCTAATATTGAGTATTCTCATGACCTGGCTTTACTGAGAGCTTTTTAGCTTCTGATTCTTTGGAAGTGTCTAGTGAACGTACACCAGTTCAGTCGGAAGCTAGGAGCGAATCATCTGAGGAGGAGGAAGAAAGCTGTGACGAAGAATTAGAGGAAGATTTTGCAGTTGATGAGGAACAACAGAGGTGAAGGATTTTTTAAGCTTAATTATCTTATTATAGAAATATTTTTTTGAAGGTTATTTACGAATGTTTTATTTGTAGTAGCCACTAATTTTAATTGTTTAGTCAGCTCTCTAAGTTCAGGATAACGGAAGGCATGTCTTCCTTTGCGGAAACGGTGCCGTGTAACCGGTCAGAGACTTCGGAGGACTTTACAAAAAACAGGACATTACCTTTGTTTTTTGAATGTAATCATCACTCATCTGCTCAGGTAGCTTTTTATTCTGTAAAAATTAATTCTTTATGCTTATTTTCTATGCAAGAAGTATTCCAGAGTGAACATCAGTGGTTGTCAAGTTTTACGGAAGTCAACAAGGACGAAAGCGGCGAATTGGTGGCTCATGCAACGCTTTTGTTTTCGCAGTTGTATAGAGTAAGTTATTTGAATAAGTTTAGTTTGCTTTAAATCAGAAGTTAGGGTTCCGGGAGCTAAAATCTAGCTTATAAATTCTTATATGAATACTATATTCTGATAATAACTGAGGGTTTTTTTTGCTATTATTATTATTACTATTATTGTTATTATTATTGCTGTTATTGCTAATGTTATAACAATTACTGTCATTATTGTTATTTGCTTATGGCTTTGGTATCCTGTTGCATAAGGTCAAAGTGGTTTCATAGCATTTTCTCATGCAACATCGCGGAAAGCATTGAGTTATTTTGGTACTTCCGTCTACTTAACTTTTTGTTGACTTTTCTGAATCTCATCGAGAGTCTCGCTATCTTATTACTTTCCTATATCATATTTCCGGATTTTATCCAGAGTATTGAGTCGTATCTTGGAAATTCAAACAAACTTGGCTTTTAAGCCGTTTTTGTGTGACGTGAATAGGTTCTTATATTTCACTTGACACTCGTAAATAAACATCGCCAAATTTGTGAATACTTAGTCTTCTTCATATTTCATACTCTAAATTCTACGCTTTATTAAATTTCTGCTATCGTTAAGTCCTTTTCAATTTGATGAAACTGGCAAGTATCGACAACACCAGATATGTTACCAGCAAGTGTCGCAGTATAATAATTTCCACCACAAAGGTGTATGACAGAAAAAGTGTTAAAAAATGTATAGTTTTAGGTCTACTAACTACTAGTAAAAATTTTGTTCATATTTACATGTTAAGGCTATTAGTTTTGTAAATAACAGGATCTAATGCAACTTCCCAGAAATTATTGAGGGCAAGGCATTTAAGTAGCGTATTTTTGTCAGATTTGTAAGGGCGAACTGCTACCAAGTCTTATTTATAAGTCGAAAAAATTTTACAGCAGTTGTGTTCCCCGTTTTTATAAAATTAGTGGGTCTTCTAAAATATATTTTTCAGGAGTGCTGTGTTAAGGTGTCTGGCATACTGCGTGATGCATCACATTTGCTAGCGTCACAACACAGAGAGATTGTAGCACATTTTGCATATGCATTGGATCTCGTTTTAAGGATTTCCGATTGTCCCTTTTTATTTGTTACAGGACAATTTGTAAGCTTTATTACGCAAACTAGTTTTTTTGGCATATTTTACAGTATTAATACTGTTTTGAGAAAATATTGGTTTTTAGTTACGGGATTATGGTTTACTGTCGAGACAGAAATGTATTCTTTTGGAGTTACATGAACATTATGAAACTTTTGTGGAGAGAAAGGAACTTTGCATAAGGGTAAAAACTTTTCTAATCACTGTGGCGGAGTTTTTAGTAAAATTAGATTTTTTATTCATTCAAATTAGGTGATGTAAACACAAAGTTTACTTGTTAGTAAGAAACTTTTAACCAGTGGAGATGCAAATATCGCTTTTTATTCGATATTTGGAGCTCATTGCGTTTCACACTTAGAAACTGCCTTCTGCGGTCTTTTCACTTTTGGTTTCTTTCCAGGCATTAAATGCTGTTAAAGCAATGACAAAGTTAATGATGATTGGGGGCTGCTCAACAAACAGCAGTAACAACCAGGTAACGTTTAATTTGTTAAAGTATAATTTTTCAATAATAATTCTTTGTGGTTGCATCGCTTTTACTGTTTTCGTTTCTGATGAATAGATCTAAAGTTAACTTTATGATATTATATAAATTTTTAGGGATTTATGTTTCTGTTCCTAGCACGTAAAAAAAATTTTTTTAGTTTCTGGAACTCTGCAAGTCGATACATAAATTGTTTTTTCAATTGTTTTTAATAAGCGATAAAATCGACGATATGATCAAAGGTGTTCTAAGTACACCAAACTGCCAGGTATCAAACGTTTTCAGAAATAAATTTTTTTTTGCAGTTTTATTGAATGGGTAGATATTAGTTTTTTTTATTTACTTATTTCTGCTGTTAAAGTTTTTGAGGATTTTTAAATTAGAGATTTGCATGTTTATTGTTAAATTGGATTTGCTTTTGTTATTGCTGCTTATGGTCCTGATTTTTTTCATACTAGATTTTTAGTCTAAGTTTATAAATAATTTCTGATTATTTTAGTTACTGTAACC